GAAGCTTTGCCGAAGGGTAAGGTTTCGTCCGGGGAGGTAAACAGGGCATGAACTCGTCTAGGCGGGTTCAAAGGCTATATTTTTTGGCCGAGCCTACGGGCTCGGAGAAACCCACTTTAAACTCGGCCTTATGCCACATATATTCCTCGTGGGTGGGATATTAAATACCGAGAACTGGTTCTATGGCATGTACGTTTCCCTGACCTCAATCATTTGTATTTTTATCTGTGGGACCACCTAATACCATTGGTTTATGCAGCAGATATCAATAATGCATAGACGCTTCATCAGCGTGTGATGGGATCCTGCTAAACCATTCAACACCGGATGCGAGTATTTTGTCCTTGCTTTGGTACGAGGAACCAGTCCCCCAAATTTTAAAAAATTTTTTATTATATATATATATATATATATATATATATATATATATATATATATATATATATATATGTATGTATGTATGTTTGTATGTATGTATGTATGGACATTGAGGTAAACACACAGCCTGTTTCATGTTTAACCGCAAGTTTCAGGCTTGTATCTTTTCAGTTGTCTTTAGTGAAACTTGTATACAAGATGGATTGCTGCCCAAATAAGCAATTATTAAATTTCATAACATGGCAGTAAACGTAACATTACAACATTCAGAAAAAAACTTGTCTTAACACAAACAAAAACAGGTCAAAGTTACACCCAACGTTTAAATAATGAAACCATAATGAGAAACTCAAAAATATCTTGGAGGAATCTGAATATATGAAAGTACAGAACCATATCACCTTAAGTATAAGGAAAATCAACTTAAATACAAACAAATAATTATATAAACTTATATCAAGGAAACATTTTACTTCATAATAGAAGCAATCAACATATAAACCTATCCAGGCATAAATTAACAGATGACCAGAAAGAATTCCTAAATCTCAGACCAAACTGCCATCTCCATCCTTAATTTGATCTCCTCACAAAGAAGACCGAAATTGAAATTCTACACCGGTCACTATCCCAGCATTTGGCTGGTGTAAAACTCCATCCAGACCTGAGAGATCTTCTCAAGGGAGGTAATCTAAAAAAACGCACACCTCGCAATAACTATCACAATATTCTAACGACAAAACTCAAAACTGCCGCAAAAAATCCTAATGTCGCCATCAAACGAGCTGATAAAGATAACACATGCACAATTTTGGAAAGTGGATCATTTAAAAAAATAAATTACAGCACACTTTTCATGATCAATTTAAAGTATCAGTCAGTCAGTTATGTGTCATGCGGGATAAACCAGACAGATTTTTCCCCGCAGTAGGTTGCCATTTCTTTCTGAGGTAGACCCTTTATCATCCAAAACTATAGAACCCAGTCTGTCCTGCTATTTACCAATAGCTATGGGAGAAAAAGAATATTCATACTTTTCCAAACAGTATTAGCACATAAGTGAATATAATGGATTTGACTGGAATTCGAACTCGGCTCTCCGATTCTTCAATCTGTACCGTTCTCCATTACTCCACCGTACCTACTTATCTATATTTTAGTAAATTAAATAAAAACACAATGGCGACTATAAAATCAAATGATACATTCCTTGAAAATCAACAAAAAATTAAAAATACTGTCCTTAACTTCACCTATGAACTTAGCCAAAAAACCCAAAAAAACTCCCATTCTTAGACATTATCGTAGAATTCAGTAAAACATATTCCCTGTTTTGTTATACAAAAAAACCACTAGTAGAAACTCTTGATGCCTTAATTTTATGAGTAAATGCCCTCTTAAATATAAAATTGGCGTCATAAATAAATTTCCTTAAGAGAGTATACGAGAATTCATTGTCTTGTCCTTAGACTGAAAGAGAATGAGAATTCAGAAGAAACTGGAAAGCCAATCCTAAACACGAAACAAAGGATATATTCCTAGGCTTGTTCCAAAAACGGGAGGAATGTCAACCAGTCGATAGGCGAGCCAATCTATTTCTGTTCTACCATTGAATGCTGGGAATTCTTTGATGAAAACATAGAAACGTTGCCATGTTCGGAAAATGTATGATAGAATAACAAATGAAATGATTAAAAATATAAGCTGAAAAAGCATTGGATATAAGCAAATATTGACGTAAAATGATAATGCCAGATGTTTTTTCTGCTCTCTGGTGCGCTGAGTGCCATCTCAGAAAACATTACCCTGTTCGGAAAAAGGTGACATCACTTAACGAGTTTTTACCACGTGTAGGAACGGTAATGATAACTATGGTAATCATAATGATGATGGCAGAGAAACCATGACTTCAGAGGGTGCCTTTTTTATCGAAGTATACATGACATTGTAAAAATAATTTACAATTATTTCCAAGTAAATTGTTCGCGATGTGATGCGTTCTTAGGCATATTTAAGACCATTTTTTTTTACTCTATCGAACGCATGTTTCTTTCTAAAATAAAAATGAGATTTCCAAGAAATCCTTATTGTAGATGAGAGTGCCAAACTCCTTGGTAATGTTCTAATGACAATGAATAACAGAAAATCCCGTCACGGATAAAAAGAAATTAGAAACAAAGAAATGTGTTCCTAACCCTTACCCTGCCGATGAACCTGCAAGTATTTTAGAGCATGTGAGCAACGAGGACGGTTTTAGGGAAATTGGAACTACAAAGAAACCGGTGCTTACAATGAAAAAGGGAAAGCTGAAGTTACGGGGGCACATAATGCGGAAAGAAGGCTTGGAGAAATTTAACACCTAGAATGAATATATATATATATATTAGTAGTAGTAGAATTTGATAATTATATTTAAGTAATTCATCGAGTCTGAAATCTCAGCAGAATACACTGGACGTCCTATATTTGGGACAACATCAGCAGTGCGCATCCACTACCGAGAATTGAAACCCTGACAGTTAGGTTGTTCAGCAAACAACATACCAACTGTTCCAACGGGCCTCGGTAACGAAGAGATTGCAAAGCTGACTTAATCAATCTGCTGATGAGTCCCAAATATAGGACGAAACGGCCGTCCAGTGCTTTCTGCATTCTGTTGAGGTTTCAGACTCGATGAATTACTTATATATATATATACTTATATAAGTTATGAAGAACTTGGTAATCCGTATGGGTAATCCCAAGGAGGATGAAATCCTGAGAGCTCAAAGTAAATCCAGAGCTAATATTTAAAAGAAAAACAGACCACTTTAAGGTACCAGTATAATAATTTATTTCACCAGAGTCATTTTAAAGGACGCCGGATCATCAGATAGCACTTCCCAAAAAGAAATGAAACGAAAAAATTTATATATATATATATATATATATATATATATATATATATATATATTTATTATAAGTTGTTACATAAGAACACACAAGTAATCACTACAAAGATGCATATTTGTTTCTGATGCCTAAATATAAGCATCTCATCAGGTGGTGAATAACGGTGGTTATAAATGATTTAATTTAAAAATGCTACTTATGAAACATCACTTCTTTTTACATTTTTAAAAATTTAGGAACATATAAGAAGAATTTCCATAAAAGGAATAGAAAGAATTTTTTTGTTTTCCTTTTACGGAAATTTTAATATATTTCTTTCTTTTCCTCCTATGCAAATTCTTCTTATCTCTTCAGAAGGTAGGTGGGTTATTTCCTTATGTCTAGATGAATTGACCCTTTTAGCACGTCCTCCGCAGACATACTGCTGTAAATCTAACGTTAAGATACAGTGACGTAGACAGAGAATTATATTTTACAAAAAGTTATTTTTAAGGAATTTCAAGATTTTTTATAAAATTTATTTATACTTACGAACCTTTTTGAATGTGGTTGATAATTTAATTAAAACATTTATATATATATATTGGAATTCGACGCATATATTATTGAATAGGCAATAAAACATATAATAATTTAATATATATAATATTAAAGATGAAAATCAAAGAATTAGATAAATATTATGTAGACCATTATATAATAATAAAATAATGGATATGTAATTGTAATGAATAGATTTTTTATGAAAAATTATTTTAACTATATTTTAAAGTAAATATATACTTAGTCATCCGCAGAGACACTGCTTCGTTGTATCACAGCTCCTCAGTGTGGCTAGACGCCCGATTGCTTCAAGCCGGGTTCAAAACCTGAATGATTACTTTTTTAATAGAAATATTCTTATTTTCAGTTTATAAAAATGCGTGTCGATAATCATACGCTTCGGAATAATCATCTAAAAATGTTATTGTTGAATTGTTATGTTTCTTTTTCATAATAAATTTTGTTTAAAAAACGCCTGATAATTATGTACCAATCCAATATATATATATATATATATATATATATATATAGATAGATAGATAGATAGATAGATAGATAGATAGATGTAGAAAGAAATAGAGATAAAACAAAGCAGTGTATGTAAAAGAAGAAAGATGAGAAGTGCATGTCTGCTTTTCACAGTATCATTGTGTCGTTGTCTTTGTGCGAGATCATAATTCACTTCATTACCAGTTGAATAGGCATCTGTCTGAATCTGTCCTGTTTCGCAGCCATCTTTGCCGCTTGATCGGCCTCTAATTTCCCTAATCCTATTACTTGGATCCTTTCGGGCCAGACGCCGTCGATTAAGCTTTTCGGCGCGTTTCCTCCTCCATTCATTCACTCTTTCTTTCGTCTTATAGCACAAAGCAAAGATTCTGTGGAATTAGCCCGTTGTACTGACGATTTAACACAGAAAATTGTGGAACACTTGTGGGACGACAAGTGTTATTGGATTACTAGATGAAAAGACTGAAGAGAGACAATACGAATAAACAGGGAGACGAGTAGGGTGAGATTAAATAATGAGGAGAGACAGTTGAATATGAAGCTAAATAGTAAGAAAGACTTGAGTTTAACCTAATGAGAAGGAACAAGGAGAGAGAAGTGAAGAATTAATTGAAAGAAAGACAGAGGGATTAACTGCAAAAGAGAAAGAAATGTGTGAAAAGTGAAAGAAAATAAAATCAACAGTTAATTATGGGAAAAGCTGAAAAAGAAAGAAAGAAAGAAAGAAAGAAAGAAAAAGCAAAGTGAACCATGAGAAAAGGAAAAAAAAGGGAAAAAATAGGGAATGTTGAATGTTCAACAAAGTAAAAAAAATAAAGGAAAGGTAAAGCAGTATAAACGATTAAAAAAGTGAAAGAAAGAGAGAAAGAGAAAACGGAAAAGAAAGAAAGAAAGAAAGAAAGAAAAGACGGAAAAGAAAGAAAGAAAGAGAAGACGAAAAAGAAAGAAAGAAAGAAAGAAAGAAAGAAAAGACAGAAAAGAAAGAAAGAAAGAAAGAAAGAAAGAAAGAAAGAAAGAAAGAAAGAAAGAAAAGACGGAAAAGAAAGAAAGAAAGAAAGAAAGAAAGGGAAGACGGAAAGAAAGAAAGAAAGAAAGAAAGAAAGAAAGAAAGAAAGAAAGCGAAGACGGAAAAGAAAGAAAGAAAGAACGGAAAAGAAAGAAAGGGAAGATGGGAAACAAAGAAAGAAAGAAAGAAAGAAAAAACGGAAAATAAAAATAAAAATAAGAGAGACAAAAGATGAGTAAAAGTAAAAATGAAACAAGATGTACAAAAAAGGATGCAAACAAATAAAATAAAATCGATAAAATATGGATGCAAGAAAAGGATTGAAAAATATAAAGAAGGAAAGGAAAAAAGGAGAGAGAAAAAAAGAGGCAATTGTATAAAATATGGAAAGAAAGAAAGAAAGAAAGAAAGAAAGAAAGAAAGAAAGAAAGAAAGAAAGAAAGAATAAAAGAAAAGTGTAAGCAAAAAAAAAAAAAGGAAATAAATATAGGCAAGTCACGCGGGACATAACATTTTGCGCCACTTCACCGATGGATACTTCCGGTTCGTGTTGTGAATAAGCTACCGAATGCAAGCCATCGATTTTCATGTCATTCGCCTGAGAATGGGACGTGCCCTTGCGACTTTGTCCAGTTTACCTAGGAGTTTAATACAATTATCTGCTATCCAAACAGATAGACGTCTCCTTTTCCTGGGGGAGAAAACCGTCATCCGCTAAGTAAATACTAGTCGGTTACAATGTTTGCAGTGGACGTTGTTTAATAAATGTTCACTATTAGATGATGTTAAAATATACTCTTTTCTCCTCTGTGTCTTATGATGTATTAGTTTTTATTTGTATGCGCGCGGGTATGTGAGTATGTGAGTATGTGTATGTAATAGAGAAAGAGAGAAAAGTAGAGACGAGACAAATATTTAATAATAACAATAGGAAATTTTTTTTTATAAAAGACAAACTGGAAACTTTTCTAAAAACAAGTGAAGTTGAATTTAGCTTTCAAGAAAAAATTATAACTTCTCAGGCCAGAGAAGTATTTGGGGTCTGCGAGGATACTAAGTAAGGTGCTGCAAACTCCAGGAGACATGTTGGCATTAACTCTCTAGTTACTATCAACAGGCATCTGTTGTGAACATGTAATAATGATAATACATCTATATATATATATATATATATATATATATATATATATATATATATATATATATATATATATATATATATATATAATTTTATAAATTAATTGATTTAAAATATTTTTTTTCGCTACACAGTTCTAACTATGTTTCAAAAATGGAAGCTAAAAAGCCCTGAATTTAATTTTGTGATTAAATTAAAGACATTAGTTCCATTTCATCCTCAAGCGAAAATTTAATCACAAAATTAAATTCAGGGCATTTAGCTTCCATTTTTGAAACATGGTTAGAACTGTTTAGCGAAAAAAAACATATTTTAAATCAATTAATTTATAATATTAATGCTCTGTAAATTTACATTGAACACTATTTTGTAAAAATAAAAATATCTATAAGAACACCGGATTATATATCTTGCTGTTCTTTCTTTATATATATATATATATATATATATATATATATATATATATATATATATATATGAAGAAATATAGTCTTAAGATGTGCTATATTTATGGCATAAAGTGCTCAATATCAGAGATAGAGCGTGTGTAAATATAAAAGTGAACATAGAAGTCAACACTTAGAGGTGACAGTCTGTTTCAAGCCGTTATTTACCCGACCTCCCCACGAGGCAGGATGTGGCACAAGGTCGATTTTTATATGGATGTTATTTACATAAATGTAAATGGGATTTTTATGTAATCGGAGTAAATGTTGACAAATCTCAACGCTCGGCATTCCCAGACCGCCAGACATACCAAAGGTGACTGGACTCCCCAGAGGAAAAAAAAAAAGTATTGAACTAAACCCATTAAGCCTCTATCGAACGTCTGACCAGTTCATGTCCAGTTGTAAGGCGGGTCCAGTTCATCTCCAGTTGTAAGCCGGGACCAAACCGGATACCAAGTATCTTGAAAGGCCCGTCCATCCAATTGAGACTAAAAAGCAAGACGCTACTTACCCGACCTCCCAACGAGGCAGGCTGTGTCACAAGACCTATTTTTATGTATTGGGTTTTCTAAGACCATAGGCTCGGACAAAAATTCCCCATAGACACTGTCGGGTTTGTCTACAGCAGTGATTTGTAGGGATTATAAGGGGACTGATGTTACTTAGAGCTACAAAAGATAAGAAAAAGTGGGGAGCCATAATTGCCCACATCTTGAACAAACTTGGCATATAAAAGTTTTATAATGTTGACCGGGGTGGTTATTAAAATAATAACTAGGAAGAGAATCACACAAATGGAAGCCAACAGATTTATCGCGGTTGATTTGGACGCCGATAACATCTCAGACCTGCACATTTCGTTGTTTACTTCATCTATTTCGGCGGTAACAGTTACGAGCATAGACACGTCGGCAACATAGGCGGGATACCTGGCCGAGGTGGTCGCATCAGGCAACGAGATTCTGCGAAGAACAGGATTTCCATTTAACTTGCGAAGGAAAGGTTCCAACGCAAGCATGTATAGCATAGTGAGAAATTGGACAGCTCTTACGAATAGAGAGAGAGACAAGGTTAAAGTTCCCGACCTTTTATTCTATTTGCCTCTACCAACACCCTCATACAAGAGACGGGTCAAGGAGCGAAAATACGGCCCAAAACCGGCAGACACAGGAACATTTTCGCGAAATCGATGGTCCACACTCTCAAATGCCTTGGACTGTTCAAAATTGACCTTTACCTCTGCATTAAGCATAGTTAAAGCATAAAAATGACCTACCACATCCCCACTGATTTTATTCGTGTACGGCAAAGTGATGACACCACTGGTAAAGCACTGGGTGCATACTCCTATTCTTCAACCGATGATCAGTGTCAGCAGGGGGAGTAAACACGGGCGCTGCCTCAAATATGCTTCTTAGGGAAGCTTATCTAAACTCGGCCGACATGTTTAAGATTTCTACCGAACTGTTTCCAAAATTTCTGCCTCAGTGATGGCCCTTCACATCCAGCTGCTTAAGCCGTGTCTAGAAGAGGAAAGTCGGCTAAATTGGTGTCGAACTAACTAGGGCTCAATACGGATTCCTTGGTGAATAATTCCTGAAAATAAGACCAGAAGGCGTCACAGATGTGCATTCGTCTGTATTCCGTCCGGTGACGTTTGGGGTATATCGATTTGAGGCAGCTTATCTTGTTGCAGTTCGTCGCCCCAGAAGGAATTCTTTGTTAAGCGTGCCTTAACTACCAGATCTTAGTCCTTCTTCATAAGCACGGGGGCCATCTCGGTTCTAGCTACGGCTACTTCTCCACTATCTATCGATTTGATGGTAGCCTATACTCTAGATTTAGCTGCCATTTGCGCTGCTATATATCTAGATTGATCCGGCGGCTATAATCAGCAACAAACACTTCAGATGGCCTCAGCAGTTATTTCCAACCACACTACTCGTCAATTCCCTCTGCGGAGTTACTAATAATTCGACACCAGTTGAATTTCCAGTAACCAGGCAATATTGGCTTTTTATCTAAATTTACCCGCACCCAGACGAGCCTATGGTCCGAGTACACTATAGGTTGAAAACTTGAACTAGGAATAAAGTATATAATTCCATCGCTTCAGAAGTCCGCGTTGCTTGGCACAGCAAATATCCTGCGAAAAGCATTATCTGTCTGAGGTCGAACGACTTGATGGGGAGCATCCATAATGCGAGATCGCCGAGTGAAAACAAAAAACATTCGTACAATAATAATAATAATGGGAAAATTATTTGGAATGCGGAAAGGGAATGTCAAGGTGATTCCAGTAGTGATTGGCGGATTGGGATCAATTTTTCTTGTCAGAATCTTACACATGAATAAGTTTACCATTCATCCATGCATTGAATATTGCTGTCACAATTGGTCTGGTACTTCTATAGATTCTTGATAAAATCCAAAGAAGAATCTCTAATGATTGTGACTTGGCATCTCGGCTTCAATCACTTTTCTACGACCGTAATGTAGATTCCGTGTGCCTTTTGTATAAATACTTTCTTAGTAATTGTTCTCAGGAGCTTCCCTCTTTGGCACCTCAACTTTACGATTTTCAGCGCAATTCTCGATTAGAAGCTAGGCTTACAGTTGAAATGTCTAGATGTAACCGTAAGTTCTATGTTAAGAGTTTCTTCTTTTGAAATTTCTTGCCTGTGGAACTCACTTTCGGCTTCTTTCTTTTCGGGTAACTTTGATCTTTAAAAATTCAAATGCAATATCTATCTTCTTTATTCCTCTTCTTTTATTATTCTCTCTTCTTAACCATGGTTTTCTTTTTCTCATATTCTTTTTTCATTCAGTAATTCTTTGTATCTTAGTGGCTTTATTGCCCTGCTTGGGGTGAATTTTTTTCTCATTGTCTAAAGAAAACCATAAAGTTAGCTTCTCTTTGAAGGAAATAGATAAAAATACTGGGAAACAAAAAGTATACTAAGTTACAAATGGTAAAAAATTAGACAAAAACAGACTGGCAAAAACCAAAGTCCCAGAAATAGCAAATATACCTTCAGAAATAGTAACGTCGATATCCTTAAATACAACGTATCTGAGTGTCTGAAAAGTGAAGAGCTAAAAGTAGAGACCGAGGCATGTATAACGGTTGCACAGGACCAAAGCCTATTTACTAGGGATTACCAGCTAAACATAATTCCAAAGTGATGCGAAATCAATATGTAGATTATATGAACAACATGTTGATTTCGAATCTAATTATTCAACTTACCGAAAGAATACAAAATGAAAAGATTGGTCAGTGCATTCATTCAATCTATGGTGATTTTCGAAGCGTAGCTTAGTATGGGTCACTCAGTGAGGACTGAACTCATTACTCAGTCGTAATTTGAGCTAGTAAGGCAAGCTTGTTAACACCACGTCGAATTGTTCGAGGTGATTTTCTAAGCATAGCTTAGATGTGACGCAAGGCCGGAAGTATGAGGCACCAAGTGAGGGTCGAACTCACTAATCAGTCGTAGGTTATCAAATAAGGCAACCTTAGTAACGATTGTATCACGTCGAAGTGTCGGAAGTGATTTTCTAAGCGTAGCTTAGATGTGACAGGTGGCCGGATGTATTTGAGGATCGAACTCACTACTCATTCGTAGGTTATCAAGCAAGGTAAACTTAGTAACCATTGTACCATGTCGAAGTGATTTTCTAAGCGTAGCTTATATGTGACACATGACCGGATGTGTGTGAGGATCGAAATCATTACTCAGTTTTAGTTTATCTAGCAAGGTAAGCCTGCTAACCATTAGTACCACGTCGAGGTACCCTCGTCAGTTAAAGTATGTTACAGTTCACGACATGTTAAAAATGGTATGATCGTCATACTGAATCAACCATGAAAGGCCACTTTGGGACTTTATAACTCATACTGACAAAGATATTGAATATTCTAAAATGGGTAGAGGCAAAAAAAATTAACAAGATCTCTGGGCGCCTCTGTTTACAATAGATTTTTTAATGCACGTTGTG